TACAATAAATGTGTATTTAGGACTTAAAAATTACAAAGTCTTTATATTATTAGATTTAGGATCCTCAGCCTATTTTATAGATAAAGACTTTGTCAAAAAACAAGAAATATCTTTAGTCAAGAAAACTTAACCTATACATATAGAAGTCATAGATGGTCGTTTCTTATCTTTTGAAAATATTTTCTATGAAATTTGTTTTTTAGATGTAGCAATTAAAGATCATAATAGTATAGTAATATTTAATGTGATAAGATCTCCCTTCAATCTAATTAATTTAGGATTATTGTGTTTAGAAAAATATAATCTTCAAATAGATTGGATTTTTTATAACCTTAATTTTTTTGATAGTTTAATTTAAAATCCAATTAGTCAAGTAGAAATATACAAGTTTAGTATATCCAAATTTTTATTGATATGAGCAAGAACTTTTATGCATACCACAAAAGAAGAGTCATCTTTTGCTATATATGCCATACCCATTTTTAATGGTGAAAAGTTGTCAAGTAGTATTCCTAGCAAATACCAAGATTTTTAAGATGTTTTTAAAAAAAAGAATGCAAATATGCTTTCAAAGTATTTATGATTGTTCAATTGATATCCAAGAAAGAGCTCAACCACCATTCAAACCGACCTACAACTATTACAAAATGAATAGGTTACATTAAAGGAGTACATTAATAAAAATTTTGCTAAAAACTTCATATGCCATTGAAAATTTCTAGCATGAGCTCCTATCTAATTTATATATTAAAAAAAAAAAAAAAAAAAAAAAAAAAAGATTTCTACGGATGTGCATAAACTATTGAAGACTTAACAAGATTACCATCAAAAATAGGTATCTTCTATTTTTAACTTGAAGACTTTTTGATCAATTGAATCAAGCAAAGAATTCTACAATAATAGATCTACAAGGAGCTTATAATCTGGTATGTATTAAAGATGGAGATGAATAAAAAATTACATTTTGAACTAGATATGGGCATTTTGAATACAATGTCATATCTTTTGGGGTCACAAATGTACTAGCTGCTTTTTAATATTTAATGAATGATGTCTTTTGTGAATTTCTTGATAATTTTGTCATCTATTATTTAAACATCTTAATCTATTCCAACAATACAAAAAAACATGAAGCTCATATTTTTCATATGTTACAAAAACTTACAGATAGATGATTATATACAAAGATGAAAAAGTATATATTCCACACTACTCAAGTTGACTTCCTAGGATACATCATTTCCAACAAATGACTATTGATGGATCCAAAAGAAGTCTAGACTATCATAGATTGAAAGATTCTAAAAACAATATGGGATGTGCAGTATTTTTTAGACTTTGTCAATTACTATCACATCTTTATCAAGAATTTTTTTCAAGTTCTTGCCTTATTTATATGTTTGACTTGTAAAGACAAACTTTAGTAGAGTAAAGAAGCTAAAGTATTATTTGATGCTTTAAATAAAGACTTTATTTTGTATCGATCTAATATTGAATTAACTTCTTCAAAGAATTTTTTATAAAAATAGATGCATCAGACTTTGCCTTAGATGGAATATTTTCACAAATTGGAGTACATGACAAGTTCCATTTAATAGTTTTTTATTCCAAGAAATTTTTGATAAGCAGGATTAATTATGACATCCACAACAAAGAATTCTTTGTAATTTTAGATTTATTTGAAGAATAGCATCATTATTTAAAAGATGCCTCAAGTCCAACCATCATCTATACAAATCACAAGAATATCAAGTATTTCATATTAGCACTTATTTTGAATCGTTGCCAAGCTCGTTGGATCATGTTTTTATCAAGATTTGATTCAAGATCATTTATTGACTCTGAAAACAACATGATTTGTTGGATGCTCTTTCTATACATTTTTATCTTATACAAAAAAAATGAGATACATCTTTTGATTAATAAAGAAGAATTTTCTTAAAGCCAGAGTATTTTTACTTTTGAGCAATAAAATCAATATTTACTATTGATTCAATTTTTTTAAAGTAAATTAAATCAAATATATCCTCTAATCCTCTTATTTATGATATCAAAAATATCTCTTCTAAGTCTCATGATACTTCCAAGTTTAAGTTCAATAATAACTTACTTTATTTTGAAAAATAATCATGCATTTTAAAAGGCAAGGCACAATTATGTCTTCTTCAAGCTCATCATGACTTTCCAATAGTTGGAAATTTTGGATACAACAAGTCTTTAGAAATAATATCAATAGATTTTTAGTGACCTCAAATGTGAAAGGCAATCAAAGACATTATACAATTATGTGATATTTGTTCAAAATCCAAAACTCCTCGCTATTGACCTTATAGACTTTTTCAACCACTACCAATTCGAAGACAGCAATGGTCTTCTATTTCTATAGATTTTATTACTGATCTTTTATTCTTAGATTTACATGATTCTATATTCCTGATAATAGATCATTTTATTAAGTTGGTACATTTTTACCATATACAAAATTTATCTTATGTGAAGAAATGGCTAAGCTTTTTTTTTACAACATTTATTGCTATCATGGATTATCTAAAGATATTATATCAAATAAAAGAACTCAATTTGTATCAAGATTTTAAAAATTAATTTTTAAGATTCTAAAGATGAATATAAAGCCTTTTTAGCTTTCCATCTTGAAAGTGATGGGTAAATAGAATAGGTGAATCATGTTTTGGAGCAATATTTGAAGTGTATTATTAATTATTATCAAGTTGATTGAACAACTCTTTTGCCATTAGTAGCGTATATATACAATAATTTGGTATATTCTTCTACTTAATAAACACCTTTTTTTGCCAATTATGGTTATTATCCACAACTTAATACTTTTGACTTTTTAAAAATTGATAATCTTGTAGCAAAAGTTTGTCAGAGCTACATATAACAATGAAGGCATAGTTAAGAAAAGCTTAAGAATGACAAAAGATCAATGTGAATGCCTATTGCAAGGAACAACCACAATTCAATGTGGGTCACAAAGTATGGTTATTTCATTGCATTATGAAGACTATTCTTTTTTATAACAAATTGAACTATCATAGGCTTGGACCTTTTTCTATTTGTGAACAAATCAATCATATTGTTCATTGATTACATCTACTAGAGTCTATAAAGATCCATCATGTATTCTATATGTCTCTTCTTGAGCCATATAAGACAATGAATATCTCAAGAAAAAGACAAATGCCATCAACTCCTATAAAAGTGGATAATAATTAAGAGTTTGAAATAGAAGAAGTCTTAGATTCAAGGCGATGCTAAAATAAGTTAGAATATCTTATTTATTGGTGCGGATATGATATTAGTGAACACACACAGAAGCTAGCCAAGAATTTTGCAAATACAACAAAGAAAGTTGATGTTTTTTTTTATCAACGACATCTATCAGACCAAAATGAAGAATTGCAAGATCCATGAAAGATGATGATCATTTTTTATCAAACTCTTTGCTAAAAAAGAAGTTAATGTCACGAAAAAACATACTTATTCTAATATTTACTTATATAATTAAATAGAAATAAATAAAAATATATTTATTTTATAATATTTTCTAAGAAAGCTTCCTAAAAGCTTCATAGATGTTGCTTTGACTTTACAAGTGTTTGTAATTGCTTACTAAGTTAGAAACTTGGTCAACAAATTAACCACATACTGGTAGTTTGCAGAACAAACTAACTATATGGTGCACATATACAAAACTTATCTTGCAAATTAAGATATGTATCTTGCAAAGTCAACACATTTTAAAGGTCCTATAGGACATCACCATGAAGCTTTTAATTAAGAGTGTATATGGAGGCAAGAGTGAAGCCTTCTTCACTCTTGTCAATGCCTTTTTAGTCCTTAGTCTTATTCCAAGACTTTTTAGTCTTTTTGTTTTTGGCAATAGCCATTCTAGTTTTATACTCTATCATTTTTAAATGATTTTTTAGTCTTTTTGAGTGATATATGAATATATTGAGATTTTCTTTTTTCGAGATTTATGTCCTTGGCACAAGTCTTGTTTATTCTTGATAAAATTACAAATATTGAAACAACTATCTATATAATATTAAAATGAGTCATTAGCTTGTGAGAATTTAAACATTAAAAATTCTTTTATCTATTGTAAATAAGATTCATATCAATAAACATAATAATACAAAAAAAATGTTGCATTTTACATCAAAGTTCGTATCTTTACATAAAGTAGTAAAATCAACTAATTTTAACAAAATCTTGCAAATTTCACGTGATATTTAGTGATAAAGATTTTAAAATTTTGTTCAAATAAATGTTCAGATACTTTTTGAACATAATTTTATAAACCTGCTCATATGAAAGCCTATCTACTTATCATAGTCATGTTGCACATATAAAAATCAAGTAATTATGGATTGTTTTGGTTGTAATAAAAGTTCCATTGTATTCTAAATTTATGGTTCAAGATTTTGTTAGGATATAAATTTGTACTTATTAATAATGAGATCTTTATGACTTTCAAAATGATAATAACTAAAACAATGCAAGTTTAATAAATGATTCTACTTCACATACTTGAAGATTCTCAATAAATGAAACATTTGAATTTGTTCACTATTCTTTCAAAGTATTGTTCGAGTCCTACATGCATTTACATGCCAAGATAACATTCTTTGAATTATATGTACTTAAAAAATTAAAATCTTGTTGTCCAAGCTTCTAGTGACTTGTAACACTAACTATTGGAAGAGGTTTTGTACAAAAACCTCCTCACATACCTCCCACCCAAGCAACAATTGAAAATGCTTAAGGAATACTTTTTAACATGTGACATTGTGACATGAGCTTCTATGAGAAATGCACAAGACGATTAAATACATTGATTATCAAAATGCAGAGCAAGAGTAAAACCGCAGACGAAAGAAGCATACAAATCACCACGTTATTACAACACCAAGAAGCTATTTCATTCGTTGCATTTCTAAAGACAATTACAATCAACCATGCATTACATTAACAGGGAAAAAAACGAAGTAAATTTATTAAATAATTTAGTGAAGTGCTAACTGAAAATTGGTATGTAGTGTCAAAAATGAAGTATTCATTTATTTCGAATATAATTGCAATATCGTATGAGTGCAATTATGCAGATCAACACTAAAATCAACAAACAAACATTCTCCTATCCCGATAAATTCACTGTCAATGACACATATGGATGCACTTCTGAGTCTCCACCAGCGAGTCCCATCATTCCCGCATCATCTTCGGAATGCCAGAACAAACTGCAAAAAATCGGACAAGCCTGCGAATCAGTTACCAACTCTCGCGCTATAAGCATCCCAAATAAATCATGTGATCACGTCTGCACCTAGAACGACCATATGCACATCTACCAGGTATCTCGGGATCAATCCCAGCAATGCAATAGTCGTCTTGCACGCCACCAGTCACACTCTCTTCCTCTTGGTTCACTCTTGGTCAGTACGTTCCTAGTTCAACACCAACATTTACTTACAGAATTCAAACCAAACAATACTCTCTGCCTCTTACGTTGAACCATCACACGTACCTGTTTGTCCCGCTGGATAGCTTCTCACACACTCCACGGACTTTCTTCTCGGTCTTCGAGCTTGGAGCGAGTACAGCGGCCTACGACGATTACAACATGAGTCCAGAAACATTGTCAGTACTAGGTAGCACCACACCAATGCAAATATAGAAGCCACGCCAAAGCAACCAACCGAATAGTTCCATCCACCAGGATGCTCACCAGGAACTTTGGTGGAAGTCCGTATCTCAAGATACTCTCTGTGAACAGTCGAATAGCACACACGTGCATCCAAGCACTAAAGACCTGTTCACCACAACAACCACGAGCACCGCTCGTCATTCGTATGTAATTTGATCTGGTCAAACACTCCATCTCCACCAAGTTAGCAGCCACCCCTAGAACCCACATCCACAACGATACTTACCTCCCCATACACAGCATAACACCACTGTTGAAGAGATTGACGAAGCTCGTCTTGGTCCTTCTGTAACTTAGCCATCTCCTCCTGCTTCGATGACTGCCCCTCTGGGTCCAGCTCAAAGTCCCGAACCTGCTCCACCGTCGCCCAACCAATCAGACACCCGCATATAAAACTAACACATTCGTTGTTTCCGCTCCCATCGTCGCAACATCTACACAAACAAAATCACTCACCAGAAAACCCCTCTCCCTTCCAGCGGTCTTAAAGTTGTCCGCCACCTTCCGGAATAAGGTCACTGTAAAAAGGGCGTATTCGTTATCCTCCGTCAGCCTCTTAGACGACCGTGGAACCTTCATCAATTACACATCACAGTGAGCATCTGCATGAAAATGCCAACCACAATATCCGCACAACATACATCAAGTATTAAGAAACCACATGCCATCTACTACAATACAGTAATGAAAGATGAAAGGTTACTTTAAACTGCAGTACCCACTCCACCTACCACAAAAGTGGACAATGTCTCATAGCTTGCCAGCCAGTCCTTCTGCGAATACTTCGACACCACCACCAAAAGTGTCGTCAAATGCTCCGTGTTCACAATATCTTCGGGTTTCACGACATTCGAAAGATCCCGCACTGCCATGCTGTCCATGCTGACCATCAGTTCCGCAGCACAACGGAAATCCATCGAACATCAAACGTTCCAATCAACCACTTCAACATGTATATTTCTAGATGCAACTTTAAACACGCACACACCTGTGAACAACTCATCAGCATCACCATGCAACCAGAGCCGACATACACACTCACACAAACACACACACACACCTGCCACCCTGCTTCCGCAACATTGTCGTCAATTGGGTCTTCACATTACTGTATTCCGAAACCCTTACCTGCGCATACACCACACCTGTGAGGGATACTGTTCCTCCCCTTGTTACAAAAGAAATCCAAGCGTCTCCACAAGATAACACGAAGCTCCCTTCGATACAAATTCACAAATGGCCATGATTTTTCTTTAAAAAAACAAACAATTACAGAAAAAAAACAAAATACCTTCAGATCATCTTCCAGCTTCGACACGCTTTCCTGGATTGTGTCCACAATCTCTCTCAACGGTGTCATGGTTGGATACTTCGCCTCGTCCCAGCTAAACCTGCACGCCATCAAAACCACCACTCGTCATCTATAGTTCCTGTTAATTACCATGTAATCCTACTTCCCACACTAACTCTTCGGTATCGAGTTCATGCACTCTACCTGCATTCCCTAAACTCTCATATCCCCAGTACCTGGTGATGTAAGAGTCGATGGGAACTCCATCCACAGAAAGAGCGCTGCTGTTGTCGGAATTGGATGCCCGCTCCAAGTCGTCTATTTGCCTTCGCACCTTCTGAGTCACCGTCTCCACCACTTGATTGGCCTGCAATCCGGCCATACACATAAAGCAACTACGTTCATATCCAACACATAACCACTATATTTCGCGACACGTAATTCCCCTCTCCAGTAACATCCCCATTAATATCAATTAGGGTAACAAGTACGACTCGTCAAAAAAAAACAAAACAAAACAAAAAACAAAAAAAAACAAAAAAAAAACAAAAAAAAAAAAAAAAAAAAAAACTTGAACGACTCGATAACTTGTAACCCATGCATTTCTAGGTCATTCTCATGTTCATACGCAGTTCAACCACCACAACAACATCAATCGTCACCACCCAAGTCACTCAACTGGCTCTGATTCGTCAAGGAAATCGCACCTTAGTCAGATCGTCGCTGAGCGTCAGCAACGAGTCCAGCGTCCCTACTCGCAGCTCAGGAATATGGAACTGCTCTCACCAACCAACTATACACGATCAGCACCTCACCTCACACCACCCAACCAAATGCACACACGCAATCCAAACAACCCTCACAGGCAACTCAATCACACACTCTCTCTCTCTCTCTCTCTCTCTCTCTCTCTCAACCTCCGGATCCATGATTCCCGGAAAATCATCAAACACGCCACGCCTAAGAGAACCCTCGCATCCACTACACTCTCCCCCTCCCCCCACCGGGCCCATCACCTTGTACGTGGGCGTGTCAAACGCAGCACGAGAGACACCGCTCTGCAGACTCTCCCAGGTCTGGTTCGACGATCCCTGCAGCGGCAGCGACACCAACAGGTACTTGTTCACTGCCATCGCTGCGACGCCCGAACGGCCTCGACTCTAAGAGTATGAATTCCCCCAGCTCTCGAAAACGAGTCCCCGTGCGTGCTCTGGCTCTGGCTATGAAGTCGAGCTCTCCTGCCTGCAAAACTACTAAGGCCCTGATGCGCGCAACGGGACTCGACACGAGGAAGACGACCTCTCGACCGTCGATGGACACAATCCGAGGGCGAAATGGGGTGCCACGTCATACAAGTGAGGCAGAATGGGCTGCGGAGGACGACGCGTGCTTGTTGTGCTTGTCCGCTTAATGAGAGTCCCCAACGCGCTTCGTCTCGCGCGCCCTTTCGCAGCACTCATCCTTTTTGGATGAATGAGGGAACGAATGAACTCATCCTATTCATGACGAGTTCATTTCCACACTTTGGACATGCGTGAAATCCTTACTAAATACGAGGTACTGCACAAATTTTACTCGATTCTCATTGATTGAGCCTATTATTTATATATATATATATATATATATATATGTGTGTGTGTGTGTGTGTGTGTGTGTATCAATCTAAGGTTTATTTCTTTTCATAACTATGTAGTAATTTGAGTTGTTCCTATTAAAATCTTTGGTTGAATCTCTTCTATTAAAAAATTATTACTTTTATTTATTTTAAGATTCTTTTGGCAATATATTAAAAAATCAATCTTTACAAATAGATCTTAAATTTAATTACATTTAAAACAATTTTTTTCTATATTCCAAGAAAATTATTTATTGATTCATACTTTTGAATAAAAAAAACAATATATATATATATATATATATAAATATATATTCTTCACTATTTTCTTAAAACTTTTTTGATGATTTAAAAAATATTTATGGTATATTTTTTAAAATATTCTATTGTAATATATTATACTTCATTTTTTATACTTTTATGTGTAATAAAAAACTTTTATAAAATACTTTGAATCAAATATACATTAAATTTAATGAACATTTGTAATTTAAATTGATTTATTAATATAAATATAATTATTTAGTATAAATTTAAATTTAAATATTATAAAAAAAATTAAAAAATTAGTGTAATTTCTTGGTACTTAAAATAAACTTTATAGTAATTTTTAAAAATTAGTGTAATAATTTTTTTAATCACAATAATTTATTTTTAAAAAATTACACTAATTAGTATAAAATTTATAGTATTTTTTAGAAATATTCATTTAAAATATGTGTAATTCAAAATAAATCTATAATAATTAAATTATAACAACTTACAAGATTGATTATATTAGTTTTAGAGGTATTGGACAAGGATTTTACAAGTAAATTTGTATATCCAACCAAATAGTTCTTTAGCTAGATGTTATATTTTTCTTCAAGGTATTACTTAAATATTTCTTACTATAATTATGATAATCTCTAAGAATCACAAATTACCATAAAGTTTATTTTTAGTACCAAGAAATACTAAACTTTATAATAGAGTTTAATCACTCTATAAAAAAAATCTCAAGTTACTTCAAAATCTCTCAAGATTATATTAAAGATATTTAGATTAACATCTTATATTAAACACCAACAATTTTTTTTTAATAATATTTTTTAAAAAAATACCTTATATTTTTGCATCCTATATAAGATTTAATAGTTATCTCCTACTTATCTAAAAAACCAAAGAAAGTATTTAATTCTTAGCTCAATTCCAATATTTATTTAATTATAACTTCTTTACTACAAGTTTTAAAGTGGTCTTATAAGTTGTCTATATTATCCACATCTTATTTAAATACTAGTAAATCATTTTCTTGTTTTATCTTAAAAACTAATGAAAGATATAATTTAAATTTTTTGAAACACTCAATTTGCAATTAATCCATAATTTTATAGAGAATCTATAATTTCTAACTTACATCTCCAAATAATAAAACACAACACTCTTAAGCTCAATAGGTTGAAGCTTATTAATTTTGGATTTCTTATTACCACACTATCTAAATCTAAATCTATGTGATCACTTCCATTTGTAACTTAACATCACTACACTTCCCAAACATAAGATACTCAATATTATATATGAATACTATTACAATACACAACCTTGTATTTACATGTTTTGTGTTTGTATCCAATTGATCATCTAACATTGCCTTCTAGTAACCAATCTACACAACAATATCAGATATTTTATTTAATATGTCTCATTCTACAACTTATACAAATCTATGATCATGACATTTAAGTGTCATTTTTCAAGACAATTACGTGAGTGACATAGGTCATCTATTCATCTTTGTCCTCCGTAAATGTCTGCTAATTAAAACGAAGGCAACGCACATGTTCAGATTTGCATAGCGTTCAATGTGCAAGATTTTAGCGAAGACTACCGGAGGATGCAAGTTGGTGCTTATTGCATTCTAACACAGATCATTTCAGATCAGAACATCCCAAAGAATCCTTACACGGTTGACAAGAGCGGTAGGCATAGAGTTCAGTCATCTATGAAGTGTAGTCTTATCTTGTGTAGAAACGAAGAAGTATGTACCGAAAGTTATTTAACGTAATTTGCCGAAGTCGAGTTTGTTGAATGAGAAAACGACTTGCTTGTGTGTCGATAATCTTCAAGGTTGAGCCAGGTTGAACGTAAATGGATTCCATACAGGGAAAAACTAGTTGGATGTTGTTCTAGTACATAAGTTATGTGGCGAATCAAAGGGAGTGTCGATCAAGGCACTGCAACTGTAGAGCTAAAAAATATTTATGGAGATGGAACCTTCATTTGATAGATTCCCGAAAAATGTCAGTGATGTGGTGCTTCACCGCCGGCCAACACAGTCTTTGGGGACGAAGCCCAGTTTGCGGCCAGCTGTGTCGTAGTAGACTTGGAAGTTTTGTTGCTGTACACTGCCGATGATGTTCACATCCGGGGAAGAAGTCATGGCGAAGCAATAGGACTGGCTGCTCTCAAGGTAGATGAAGTAGTTGGAAGGAGGCAGCACCATGTCGCCCCCTTCGAAGTGGAACGTCATAGCCGGGACAGTAGGGAGCTGGTCCTTCGGGAATCCCGAAAGGCAGAGATCGAGCCGTGAAATGTCATCTATCTTGCGCGAGTAGGCCATTGTGGATGCATTCATGGCTGCTAGAACCTCCTTATACGCTGCCTCAGCCAACTGTGTCACCGTTGTGCCGGAATCGAAGATGGTCCCGGCCCCACCGACGCTGTCAATGTCGAAGACGGTAGAGGAAATATTGAGCAGATTGTCACCCACGCTGATCCCGTTCAGCTTTACGTAGTAATATGTAGGGACCTTGGGGTTTGCGAGGATAGGGAGGTACTTGACGTCAGGGAGGATGGGCACGGCAGCGTCGCCGAAGAGCAGCGGGCTGGTTTGTGTCGGTGGGGCTAACCAATCCACTAGGCAGTACGAAAATTTCCCATTGTAAACCGATTTCAGCTGCGAATGGAATGACAAGGGACCTTGACCCAAGCCCAAGATTCCATCTGCACCTGCGAACGACCCCTCGTTGTCATGTCCGCAACCGAATGCAAAATTCGGAACCTGAAACACAACACTCATTAATTACACCCAACGCATTTTCGTGCTGCATCAGATCCGACAATCGTAAAGACGGTGGCCCACTAGACCTGAATCTCACAACTCATCAACCTGTTGCTTCTGTCCGTTGATGCCGTCCATGGTGATGGTGTCATATACGAAGTCCCCGGTTGTGAGTGATCCGTCTCCGTAAGAATACCAGTAGACGCAAGTCGTCTGGTTACACATGGGAAACGGCAGGCCGTTGCACAGTGCACTGCCGCAGGCCAGCTGCCAAAGCAATACGATCTTCGTGAGGTTTACGTGGACGGCATCCAATAGATTCCACAAGTAGAAGAAAGCATGTAAAGTTTGAGAAATTGGCTGCGCTACAAATTCGGCGATGTACCTTGGTGAAGGATGTCGACGTGTTGGGAAGAAACAACGCGTCATTCTGCGAATAACATTTCCCGCACGGAGAGCACTGAACCCATGTCAGGTCGCTGCCTGTGTCGACGATAACGGAGAAGACACGCTCGGGAGTTCCCAATCTCACTGTAGCTAAGTACTCACCCCTCGCCGCGGCCACGGGAGCTGTAAACCCTACTGCACAACATAACAACGTGCCACCTCAGCCAAAATGGTGGCAATTGGCTGCATCAACTGGTGCCTAGCGATGAGATAACTGTCAGAGTGATCGTAGGAGTTACTCATTTCAATGAATTTCCTGAGAGAATTACTCGCACCTCAATCAAACGAGATAAGCATTATTTGTGTCAAATGTAATAAAGCTTTCAGCAGCTTGTGAGATGTGTAGGGGTTAGTGATCCGAACCTGCAGTTGTGCTCCCAGTTGGGCTGCCACCAGCCTTGGACCCTGTGTTGTCATGAATGCGGGGTTTCTTCCTAACTTCTTGAGCCCTAAACAAGCTTCTATGGACAGCGCATCGGAGTCTCTGATGATCTCTGAACCCATCATCCCGAAACTTTTGAAGCCCACAAGGTGATTCGATCCTCTGCAGCTCCAATTTAACGCCATGGCTATGACTCTCAATAGAGTGGTGTTCAGCGTGCAAAAGCGCACGTCTTGTGGGTTGGATGTGTTGTGTGCTAGTGCGGCCCTCTTGACCCAGTTGAAACTCGTTAACATTTAAGGACGGTGTCTGATTCGCATCGCGAGCGAACAACGAAGTTGGGAAATGGTAGAAAACCTGGGAAAGAACTGACAGGCAAAAGATTGTGGACATCGTAGTAACGGCTACTTGCCGCGTCCACCTGAAGCATGTGGCCATGAGATCAACTTAAATTGATCAAATATACCAATCTCTTCAAGACAGTCATCTACCTATCTGGAAGCACAGTTAGACTCGAGCACATCTGGACGCTGCATCACTGAACAACGTCAAACGACAAGACACACACCTGCCGCTAAGCCCCCGCAGCATTGTCGTCAATTGTACCTTCACATTTCTGCACTTTGAAACCCTTGTCTATAAGGATAAACCTGCACTCAAGAATGGCTAAGCCTTAGCATCTACTTCTGCCTCTCCTCCTACGCTAGCTCGAAATCTTCATGTACTGATGCACGCCCCAAGGTAAATACTTAGGTGCCTCGTACTGAACTAAGAGTCGACAGGAACTCCAGTTACAGAAAGAGAGCTTCTAAGCTGCAGGTTCTCTGATGGACTGATCCGCTCCTTGTGCATCACTGTCGATTTCACTTGATTGGCCTGTTGTCGTAGCGCACACACCAGGCAAGCACATCTATAGCAGCGTTGCACTGCAATTGGTGGCAATAAATTTTCATTTCAACTAAATGGAAAGTGCTCAGATGCAGCAGTGGGATCCTTTTGCATAGCACTGAATTAGGTCACGATGTCCACGCCACCGTGAAGGCGGCACACACACCCTTACAAATCTTCCTCAATTGACCTTAAGTAGTCACTCGCGAAACAAAAAAAAAGTCCCTTGATCTCGACACAAGCGACTCGCCGCAACGCTTTCTCAGGACTGAAATGAGTGCAGTAAGAAACCAAGCTGTGTGCGTTAAGACGACATGCTAGCACAAATGGTCGGGGAATGGAGAGCAGTGGACTTGGACCCATGCAATGAACATGTTATCAAATCAAAGCGTACCTCTTAAAATCCGAGTTTGGAAACGGTTGGCCTCTGTTAATCAGGAACGATGTTGAAAGCTTCGCCCCTAGCTCTGGCGCGGACTGCCGCCGTTCAGTGTTCGCGGTACAGCCTGCACTTTTGCAACTGGCAGTGACAAGAAAGAGTAGCTGTACAGGCTTGATGTTGCAAGCTACCACAGACAGGCCACAGGAAATCGCGACGGAGGACTTGAAGCAGGTGGCGCCGCATAAGCGTATCCGTGCACCTGAGTAGAACCTGCCACTCATCAGAATCCAACATACTGTGATCACGTCGGGAAAGTTGGACTCCTACAGCAATTAGTCCACAGCCATGGCTGTGCGGCCCTCCAAAACGCAGTAAAATAGCTAGAGACGATAACAGTGTCGCAAGCATGACATTGCGACGTATGTACCTCACACCATACAGTTGGAGATTCGGAGTGTCAGTGGAGGATTGGACACCCATCTGCTGCACCCGAACCCCATCGATTCCACCCCCTGCACTGCATGTAACAATCGACCAATTCCCACGTCAGCGATCGTGCAAACTCCCGAGATCAGCGTGCACCAAACACTAGAAATCGAAACCCCCTTCAATACCGCAAATCTGCCCTTCCCCACATCAGACAAATGTGTCACCACCTGCAACCTTGACAGTATGGCTAGACTTCCACCAATGTGCCATCATCAATACCCAACAGGGTCGCTGCTTACCGTAGTCCAGGCGGCTAGTAAGGATCGTTACGGTGATCAAGGTTGCGTCCTCTATGAGAAACCAAGTCTCTAACTTGAGACCTGCTCTGCCACCATTGCCCGGCTCTGACACAACACTGCTAGCTCCCTCCTCTCTGCGCCGACGATCTGACGCCGAAGCATCACACAAAATCGCAGTCAAGGGGGGGCGGAGTAGGCGTCGCCCACGTACTACTGCAAGTGTCGCACAGAGCGGCAGAATGTTACAGCTCCGCTTCCGACAATCGCGAAACTGCGTACCTTATTCAGCGACGGCGACGGCAACGGCGGACACTTCGTGTATCGCAACGACAAGGACTGCGAATAGAAATGTTCCTAACTGGATTTGCAAGATTGTAATTTTAATATATATCCAGCATAATCTTTCACTACATCATGTAATCATAATAATAATATAATATAGTATTTCTGTTATGCGTATGTATGCAGCTGGGAATAAATGCAAAAAAAATTATTTATTTTTTGGTTTTATTTTTTTCCTGTATTTCAAAAACATGTGTTTTGAAATGAATTTTTTGTGTGAACAAAGTGCTTCTTACTGTATCTTTTTACTGTGGTTATTATAATTAATTGTGCATAAGTGCATTTATATATATATATATATATATATATATATATTAATGATACTACCTCAAATTATTGCAGTTTTGATTGGAAGTAGTTTATTGAAACACATATTTGTAATAGCACAATATTTAATAAAAGTGAGGTATTATAAATTTTAAAGCATATTCTTAAAGTTTGAAAAATTACTAACAGGTGGTATTTTTCTTATGTATTTTTCTAGACTGATAATTATTTCATCATAAAAGTAATTCATCTTTTTATTATTGGCATGGTAAATTTTAACTTTCCTTGTCATATACACAATATTAACATTTATTTTAATTTTTATATAAGGATATATAAATTTCAAAATAATAATAATAATAATGAGAGTTATTTTATGTATTCTTGTATGTCTGAAGAATTATAACTACACTCAAATTATTATTGAAATTTGTACATGTTTACAAAATAGATTGTATATCTTTTTTAATTATGAAACTAATTAATAATCAACACATGATACTAAGGACATAAATCTATAAATAGATTCAAAAAACAATTTATACACTTTATTTTTGAAACTTAAATTAAATTAAACTAAACACTATATATATTTAATGTACAGATTACTAAAATGGATATTATTAAGTTCAAAGAAACTAGAATTTTCTTAACTAAGTTTGAAAATATTAGAAAGTTTTTGACAAGATCAATGATCATTTTAATTGAACCTCTTTATGTAATAGGTAGCCAAAAGACAATCTAGAAGTTTTTTCAAAGAATATCACACTTACTCACCAATTGTCTAAGTTGCAGGAGACTTGCATAGTACTTTTTAAAATCTATAAATATTTGAGAATAAGTCTTGATAGTCACATAGAGCAGTCAAGGACTCTTGTAGATCCAACTTGTGTCTAAAAAACTTCAATGATATTTTTTTAAGTAAATATTATTGATTTATTTTTAATTGTATTAACTTAGATAGTATAAGAATATGTTTTTTTAGAAACAACTTCAACAAAGGATAATAAGACTGTAATAAAAACATTAAAGACTTAATAGCAATATCCAATTAAAATTATAATCAAGCTCTATCATAATAACCTTCAAATAAAACATTTAAAAAATCTAAATTAACTGTATATTTTTAACAATATCATCAAATATCAAGAGTTTTTTTAAAAATTATTCTACCAAATAGTAAAAGCATGAGTAATTTATGTAATAATATCAAATAAAACTTTTCAAGACAAACGTAGTAGTTGTGTAATATATACTTAGTTTGGATGCATGTTATTAACATAATAAATTTAAGTTTTACAATTTAAGAAGTTGATGAATTATATAGATTTCAAATTGTGATCTTATGTATTTAATAGCATCATATTTATAATATTAAATTACATATTCTAATTTTTTTGGTACTTCTTTAACAACAACATATTGTATCAGCAAGAAAAAGTAGAATTTTTTTCTTCCTTAATATATTTATTGTTTTTTAATTTTAAATATTATAAAATGAAAATGAAAATCAAATTCTATGTTGTTTTATTTCTTTTCAAATGCTAATATATATATATATATATATATATATATATTTAAATGCATATTGAGAAATAATGCAATTAAATATAATATATCGCTACCTAAAAAACTAAATTGAATAAGACTAAATCGAATAAGTTAAATTGAATAAAACTTATATCCTCAATTCAAGTTTTTCAGGTCTTATTCAATTTAGCAATATAAATAGAATATATTTTTTTTGCTTAAATACTTTAAATATTGTATAAAATATTCTAAGTTATTTTTTAATTAAAAAATTTAGGAATCTTTGATTTAAAAATACATTGTAAGAAGCAGTAAAAAAAATTGTTATGTAGACCTGAAATTTAAGACCTGAAAAACTTATACAAAATATACAAAATAAGACATATGTACCTATGTCATCTTATTAATTGCATATATTTATTAAGATTTAAAATTAGGTACCACTTCTCTAATTAATAATAAGCACAGATAAGCTCATATTTTAAAACATTAAACCCAAAATTGTACAGAATAAGGATAAAAGATCACCAATCAAATAATAAAATACTTCTTTAAATTTTGCCAAAAATATATGTAAAGAGTTACACTTTAAAGATGACCTGAAAAAATGAGTTTGGAATTATGGTACCAACTTTAAAATCAAAGTCTTAATCCCACACTCCTCCCTGCATGGGAAAAAAGAAAAAAGAAAAAAAAAAAAAAAAAAACCAGAACCAAAACCAAAACCAAAAATACATATATAATCTAGATTCTTCAGCACAAACATTAAAACATCCTAAGGCACGAGGATGAATGGATTCAAGCGGAAGATGACTAGTGGCAACGAAGACATTCATCCACAAAGTCATTCGAACGTCCCCTTGCAGTGTATGCACATACACTACACTCACCAACACACCACAGAAGCAAAGAGATGGAAAATGGATGAATGACCTCGATGAAAACAAAGAACATCCATCACACAGGCTAAAGCCTGAATACTCCACCTCCTCCGCGCTGGACCGAGGGATCGAACCCATGATCAGATCCGCGGGTCCTCATCACGGGTTTAGGGGGGAGCTTATCGAGGGGGTCAGCCCTGCCAGAGATTTCAAATTGGGCCACTCCCATACAAATATCTCCCTCCCCTCGTGGAAACAATATCATGGAACCGCTGTTTGCACATTGCCAACCCTACAACCACTGCTATATTTGGCAATTCCACAAAGTCAGGGCTTCCTCCACGACGCTGGGTGATGAGGTGGACATTTCTTTAAATATACTCCTCCCTTATCAAGAATGTTCACATCCGACCATTGAATGAATCCAAAATAGCGCTTCATTCATTCGTTAAATAGATGAATTATTTGATGAATGTATTGATGGATGGGTGATGCATATGGATGGATGCTGTCCGTGGGTGGTGAGGTTAGGGTGTCGTCTCTCTCTTGCTCCAGTCGTTTATTTTTATTTTTATTTTCCTTCATCATTTTTGTTTCCTTCGTTCGAGTTTTCTTGGTTCTCGTCTCCAACCCTTGTTCTCCACAGACTGCCGAGGCCTTGCCCTCTCCCCCCCCCCCCGAGCTGTCGGGGCTCACGCGTTTCTGTAGGGGATTCCCGTTAGAGTGTTACATATAGCGCAGCTGCTTGCTTGTGCTGTGATTAGGCGTTTAGGGAGTAGCTTGGAGTGGCGTTGCAAGGTGGGATTAGGATCGATTAGTTGTTGATTGAGTGCGGCCCTCGGTGTTGGTTATTTGTTTAGGTAGATTGTAGTCTCGCTGGGAGTGGAGAGGAGGTATTCGTTTTTTTGGTTTTTATTGTTTGACGTAGGCTTGTGGTTAGGTTTTGACTTATACTTTCTGTTGAGGAATTGGGAAGAAAAGAACAGGGTGTTCTAGCATTTAGGGGAATTGACCAGGGTAGGAGGTGAAGCCGAAGCTTCGATGTCATCTGCTGTGGACTTTGTAGAGGGCGGTACCCAAGACCCGTGCGAAGATGCGTGCAGCATCTGCCTTGAAACTTTTTGTGAAGATGATCCTGCCACCGTAAGTGAAAAACCAACCCTTCGACGTTTAGATGTGGTTTCGTTTTTGATGTTGGTAGAATTTGGACCAGTCTCCTTTTTCTGAACTGTATGGCAATTTTTCTTGCTTATTCGTTGAACTCATTATGCGTGAACTCGAACTTTGGTGCTGCGTTTAAATGATCTTGGTTTTCAGCTTGTTGCTATATGGATTTAGATTTGTCCTTGAGATGGCGAACGTCTTCACTCGAGGATATTTTTGTGTAATCAAGCGCCGTTTGATTGTTTGTTTATTGTTACAGGTCACTAGCTGCAAGCACGACTATCATCTGCAATGCATTCTTGAATGGTGAGTGCTGTGCTCTATCAGGCATCACGAGCTATGTGATTTTTCCCGATTGATGCTGGGCTGGCAGTGGAGTTTGATCGTTATGACTTTTGAATAATGGCTTATTTTCCAGCTGCTGGTTCTATAAATCACATGAATTCCTCACCGTGTCCCTTGGTTCGAATTATCCAATCGGATTCTTTTGTTGCCCTAACCGTGTTAGGGTTAGGCATTCTGAAAATATTTTCGTGATTTTTTGAGAGCCAACCATCTATCGATCTCTTGTTTGAAGCAATTTTTTTGAAATAGCGTTTTTTTATTAAATTTTCAACTTTTTTTCCGCATTTTTTGACCATGTGACTGCCCTCGCTGACCATGTGCAGGTCGCAGCGGAGTACGGAGTGTCCAATGTGCTTGCAACCACTTAGTTTGAAAGATCCTGACAGGTACTCCTTTTGCAGTGTTGACATTAGTTTGCATCATAATCATAATTCGAAAAACAATCACTCCCGTGAATCTCTATCAGCATTAGGTTTTTAATTTTTTTCATCTCTTCAATTAAGATGGACGTTTCACTTGTTGCAGCCAAGAGCTGCTGAAAGCAGTTGGGCAAGAACGGACATTACGCCGGAATAAGATGCAGGCCTCTCACATTTACCGTCGATCCCCAGCTGAGGAGTATGAGTTCGAACGAGTAAGTAGAATATACTGGATTTCTACCAAATTTTCCGCGAAAGCAGAGGATAATTATGATCCTTCACATGAATTTGAAAAGCTATTCGGTACAAATTCTCATCTTGGTTGCGAGTGTGCCAGAGGATTGTATATATATATTGGAGTAGCATATGCCAGCCAATTTTAAACTTTCATTCGTATCTTCTTTTGTTCATGCAGTTTGCACCCTACGGGGACGAAGGTTGCATTATGCAGCATTTGGCGGCGGCAGCAATGGGCCGGAGAGAACATATTCGCTTTCGGCCATCCACTACTGCCCAAGGTCATCCGCATTTTGTTGTTGTGTCTGGTGCACCTGCAGGAGCATCGTCTTCCCCTGCATCCAGTTCGCCAGTTGTATCCCCTCCTCAAAGTACAAATGGCGAGGCATCTCTAGGAGCCGTCTTCTCATTTCCTCATTATTCTGCTCCCAATAGGGACGGTAGCTCAGCTAACTCTCCAACCATTAGGTATGCTTGGACTTGCAGATATGCCATTGTTGCTGAATGGTTACCTGTCTTCTGTATTTGCGATACCCTTGTGGACCAGTGGCTTCTTACGTGTATACATCAAAGTTGCAGTTTAAGTTACAAGGGATAATACCATTGCAAATAATAAACACGCAACGATTGTGAAAGAAATGATAAGTTTCGTCTTCTGTGGAAAATCGGTTTTATCAGAAACCAGGCACTTCTGCATATTAGTTAATATGTTAAGATTTTAATTTCTTTTTATAAAAATCATCACACTTTTGGACAGATCACGGAGCCTTGAGTCGGAGGAGCATGCAACTTCTTCATCAGAGTCTCTAGATACCTTTGCATCTCGTTTGGTCGCAGCATCTTCAAGGTACACGTCAGTTAAAGTTTGAAATGGCAATTTGTGCTGTTTCGGTGCTTCTATCTTATTTTGTATGTTGACGAAGTGATCTACTGGTCGATTTATTCTCTTTTAGTTGTTTCCTGACCATTTTTAGTCATCATAGATACATTGTGAAACTGATATACATGTGAATTGCAGGTACAAGGAGTCCCTGAGTAAGAGTACGAAGGGATTCCGTGAAAGGTTGCGAACTCGTGGTGGTATCATGCAAGACCTTGGTGCACGGGCACGAGAGATGAGTGCAGGGATGGCACGGGCGTTAGAAAGGATGTCTGTAGAGACAGGAACTGATCGGTCAGATGCGGCCAGCTCTCTTCCTGGGCAGCCTTCTGGCACTACCCATCACCCACCCGATCATCCTCCTGATCGCCCTGATTCTGGCCATTCTTCAGGAGGGTCGCCGAGTAGCCACTCTGCCGTCACTCGCACAACTCCAAGCCCCACTTCAGCACCTGAACTAAGTACAGGGACAGAACACTAGGTTTAAAACTACTTAGTTCAAACATATCACTTTCGAATAAGAGCGGATGCTGGCATCCGTCCTACGCCAGCTGCAAAGTAACGTGTATAGAAATAGAACATATTACACTGGATACTAACTGTATAGAGTTGGAACACCATACTTAAGCGGTAATGAGTGAGATGATTCAAAGCAATTTGGTAACTCATATTGCCTTGGAGAGCAAAATGGTAATTTGCAACCTTGAACTGTGATTCAGTGTTTTGGATTGGCGATGCTATGTTGTATGAATTAGTAATTTGTTACGTTTGAGATTTAAAACAATTGTGAGTAGCCGGAAGCTTTGCTGTGAGTTGCAAGTTCCATGGTTTTCTCTTTTTGGAATCCTCGTGGAGCTTGTCTTTAACCTGGTTATATGAGGCCCAGCATGCAGGCTTGCATGACCAGCACTGAATTTTACCTGGTTGTCAGCAGTGACAAATCTGAAGTACAGAGGAACATGATTGTAGCAGGTTTTGTACAAACTACCGCATGACAGGCCCCCTCAGTGCTTTTTGAGTTTCGTGTCACATATTGTGTCAATTGATGTATCATCTTACTTGCTCTTGAAATTTGGTGATAGTCAGTCTTGGTGCGTAAAGCAGTCTTACTGCTAGCTGCCGTAGTCGACTAGGTTAGCGATATCCGAATTCAACTAATCTACGTCGTCTGGAACAAAGGACTGGAGTCGAGTTGTGTTACAATCTGGATGTAAGTTGCATTTCCTATACCTTTCAAATAGTTGCGAGTTGAACTCAAATAAAACTTGATACAATTCTCCAACCATGCTGGCAGTATCCCTAATTGTAGTGTGAAAGTTGCAAGGGTCATAAAGTCTGTCAAGCTAGGGCAATGAAGGATTACACACAATATGATAACAAATTGTTAGAAGGCGGTAAGTGAAGATTTAATTACTGTAACGCATGCATACACACATCACCTGACTATGTAAACTCGTTCAAAATTTGCATCCATGAAAGTACACCTAAATTGCAGGATACGATCAACCATTTACGATTGAAACACGTAAGACGCTATCTTCCACATGTAGGAACTGCAACAACAGTTATACCATACTAAGCTCACTTTATGGAGAAGCATGAGAGACATGGGCAATCGGATTTGGCTGCTTGGTATTTATTGCCTTTTCCTTTCCGCATGCCGTCTTTTTCATGGCTGTCTCCGTTTCCCAGAAGTGAAAGAGACGGCATAGCTCGGCAAACACTCCCGAAATGGACATATTGATGGATCTGTATGTGGATAGACAGTGTCATAATTGATGCCATAGTACGTGCATGGAGCTATTTATTTCGGCACTTCACTCAAGGAAATCAACCGATGCATCTCCTGTATTTGGTTTAGGGAAATGAGTAGGTTGTATGGCGAAACACCGGAGGCTCCATACAATGTTGGGAGTGGAAGCCATAGATTGCAAGTACAAGTTGCGTGTGGTGTGTGTGTGTGGAAGCAAGGTTTCAATCGATCTCCAGAGGTTTTGTTACCTAGAGTTGGATGAATTAGTTTCGTTGCATTCAGAAGATGCCGTGTGCGCTTCCTGTTTTGCATCCAACTCCGAGATCACAACCACTTGGATTGTTAGAGCAGGGTATAGATTTATTTCCTCACAGTGTTCCGGAAAAGTATATTGTTTTCACGCGAATGCTGTTCTCCCAGAATCTCCGTTTAATTAGTGCTTTTTCTTGTATGTTATACTAGAGCTTGCGAAGAGACGTATGCTAGTGTGCAATTAAATGGAAGGTGATGATTAGCGTTTGCAAGTTAATAACAGCCCCCCTTGACTAAGTGGACTTGTCACTATAGTTCGTGAATGACCGTGGAAGTTTTTATTTGAGCGTGGAGTGGTTCTGAGCACCTGAAATTTTTGAAGCAGGACCGCCGTGCAGATTGCTACGAAATAGCTTGAAACTGGCGGTCGTCTGAAGTTCGTTCTCTCGAGTAAAATCAATTGGCCCTCAATGGCTTCCTTTCTCCTGTCGGAAGTGTACATAGTGGAGCGAACGATTGCATCCGGGCATGCGGAACTGGACGACCTTACGTGTGAGGCGACTGTATGCACGAGTGAACATCAAGCGTATTGTGAAGCCATTAAAAACATGATTCGCTTTGCGCTGGATAAAAACTGCGACAGCGAGGAAGAAGAGAGCCTGCGGTACGAAATGACGAAGACGATGCGAAGGAGGGGAATCAGCGTAGAGAGGCGCTACAAGAGGCTCAAGGATTTGATCATTGGTGCAAGCCGTGCATTCAATGCTGAGAAGACCTACTATACTGTGAAACGCAGTGCGATCGTCGCACAGGAGAAGGTCGACGAGGAAGCCATGATAATCGATGCGCTGAAGCAGCTTGGAGCAATGGATGAGAAAGCAGAGGAGCCACCTAAACGCGCGTCTAGAAACGCGACACAGGCCCCACGAGACCCATCGCTCAAGGGACGTGGACGCGTCTTGCCTCCTTTACTTGCACACGAGCAAGGCCTTGCCAGGAAGAGAGCTCGTGACCATGATTCTCGTCTCCATCACAACATTTTCTAAGAGTGAGAAGACTGCCGAGTCTCACCATTTCCCAAACGTGCTTGGACAAGCGGGCATCCAACTCCGGTAGTTTCTCAAATCTTACTTCAAGTTAAACCATCACCTGAGCATTTCAGTGTTTCCATCAGCAGTGCTGTGGAGAAGATAAGCAATTGTACGTCTCTTCAAATGAACTGCTTCGGACACAATCTTGCACACATTTGGTTGTTTGACAGGGTGGACATTGCGCGGATACTATTCACATCGAAACTTCGTTCAAACATTCGAATCAAGAATTCCCGCTCTCTGTGGAATTACCTAAACAACACGGATCAGTCGTAGCACTACTACCAGGATCAGAATCATCTGAAAAAGAGACTTCACTGTAATATCTGCTTCCAGTTAAGCAGTGAACGGCGACGCCTTCCGAGCACATCATTTTTTTATTTTATTTTTTCTTTTCACTTTATTGTTTTGTTTTATCGAAATGCTCGAAGTAGTTAGGTCCATCAAATCTTTCTAGGTCTAGAATCTTTCCATCACTTGCGAATTTTCTACCCTATCTTGTGTGTCAATCCTGAACTTGGGCTCGGGCCTAAGTAAGAATGTGTGTGTTTTCATCCGGCACTTTGGTTTTCGTCAATGTATGAGTGATACCTTAAGAAAGATTCTTGAAATATTGAATGTGACTTGGAATTATTGTGGATTGTTATCAACGAATTGTGTTCTACTGTAAACTCTGATTTGAGAAGGTTGCCTTCGTGTTATGTTTATTAAAATTCCATGATGAGAAAGTCCAAAAGTTGTTCAAAACGACTGTGTGATAGCTTGAGTAGACTAGCACTATCTTTTTCTTCTTCTTGTATGTGTCTGCATGTTCACGTGTATTAAGCTATATATATATATATATATAGACACATACATAGAGAGAGAGACATATGAAATTAAACTGAGGCTCCAATACTCAAGGATTGAAAATAATTTTCTATTTAAATTGTGTATGGCGAGCAATTCATAATAAAAATAAGACAAGTCACTGAATAAGATTGTATTAGAAAACCACAAAAGAAGGATGATTATTCAATATATGTATGTCTGTTAAAAACATTATCCCAAACTTTAATCTCAAATTTATATAAATTGTAAACTATCCTTTTAGTTCTAAATATCTACAAAATTTCATAAACTCTTCAACTTCGGTGTTCTTGTGATATATAAAGAGAATTATTAATGCTATATCTCCAATTGATACTGCTACCCCCCACATGACCTTCATACGAATTAAATTGACTAAAAAGTTTGCTTCTACAATTAGGATGAATATGGCAGCTCATCACGCAACTCCAGTATTTATCCAAAAACAGAATAAATTAAAAATAAATTTATCGTAGTTTTGGCAGCCGAATAAATCTAAAACCCTAAACCCTGCTCTCCAATCCGCATGAAATTTGTCCAAAACATTCTAGAAGTGTGTCAAAAGGGATTGAGGTGCCTAAAAACTTCTATGATAAGAGACTCCTTCAAACAACCCCAATTTTTATATAACACTTCACAATTAAATTGGTATAAAACATTTAGAAGTGCTCACAAATTTGCAACTTTCATAACTTTCAACAACACTAATCAAGTCAAGTTCCTAGATATATTGATATTTAATAAAGAAGACCAAAAAAAAAAAAAAAAAAAAAAAAAAAAACACAACCTCACTTGCAAAAATGGATAGTATCAAACCTTGCAGAATGAGTCCAACTAAATACTAATGTTCCCATATAATGTTACTTTTGTAGGGTACAATACTATATGCAATACACTAGAAATAAAAAAGCAAACAAATAATTTGTGAATTGTCTGTGTGTTTATTTAATTATCAGTTTCATCTTGTAAATTTCTAATGTGCCATCAAAGATTGATAAGAATGTAAATGAAGTAAGTGTCAAGTATATCACATGTATTTTACTGACTTGTATAAGGATAGAACCACACATTAAAATCAATAAAGAAAAGCTTTTGGTACTACAATGTTTGGTATCTTTCAAAATCATAATTTGTAAATTCATTTAGTACCAACATCTCAAAGATAAATCAAAACAGTTCCCCAAGAAATGCTCACAGCAACATGGTTGCTTACAATAAGTAGGCAAACAAACAATACATTCTCATACGTCAAAAACCAAAGAGACCACATCCATTGTGACCAAAGGAGGAATGATCAAAATGAAGATCGAACTATATACCTGAAAACTGGTCCACCCCAGATTACTGATGAGAAATATTCATACTCAAAAAATTCAAAATCAAAAGATAAAAATATTCAAATATTAACATAAACAAATGAACTCTAAATAAGTAAACAACATTATTCTTGGTTCACAACTCTGACACCTCTTGGAGGTATCTAAAATAAAGGACAAACTCAACCAACTTCATGGACATTGAAATCACACCCTGCAGGTAAGACATGTGATTTCCAATACCAAACATCACAAAAACTGTTGCATTTTAGATGATAATAATCTTACCCATCCATGTGGAGCTTGGATGGATTTGAGAGAACAAAATATGTATGATCCACAGTACAAGTATGAATGGAACATGACTTCAAGAACAATAATGTTGTTCATGTTTGTAACATGGAAGCTGTACAAGTAGTGCATACAACACCAACAGATTCCAACTCTCTGCAAAAATCCACCAGGCCATGAGATCCACATCAGCCAGAGGAATTGATCCAATAGCAAATGACAGGATGGGTGCTAACAACCACACTGACTCAAACTTAGCTAAAAAGTAAAATAAAACTGAGGATTGCAGTTGGAAATGCCTGGCAAACAACATGACATGCACAGGAGAGAAAGGGAGGGATTGATTCAGGAAAGTGCAAATAAGATACTGCGAGGATTGTTTCTGTAAAGAATCTAAAAGAAGGAATGAAAGAAATACAGAGATAGAGAAAGAAATTGGTGGGCATGATGCATGGGACTTCCTTGCATCACCATCATCACCATCATCATCACCATCATCATCATCTGATGCTAAACCCTACTTCCCTGCAAACTTGGGCGGACCTCCATCCATGTTCAGAAAAAGAGAAAGAGAAAGAAAAGTGAAAGACAAGAGGAAAAAGAACAGAGCAGAGAAGAGAAAAGCCAATCTCATTGGCTCCCACACGCGCGTCCTGCTCACCCATTGGCTGGAGCCACGACGACCCCACACCCTCTGTCCACGCTGTCATTCCCATGGCGCCAAATCCCTCGCGTCTGTCCGTCCGTCCGGGTACCGACGGGCAGGAGCAGCGCAAACGGAGGCGACGACAGACGTTCATCGCGACTCTCTGGTTGTGGTGGCGACTGGTGTTCTCGGGAAACTTCCAGAACTTCAACTCCACGCTGCTCGTGGAGGGATTTCGTCCATCTGGTTGGAACGGTGCCCGCGCTCTGTGAGTGCTCCCAGTGGGGCGTCCCTGTGTCCTCCCCGATGCTGTCATCCGAGGGTCGACGAATGTCGTCCACGGCGATGAACGCAGCGGGGCCGGCGTTAGGGCGTCCGTCGGGCTTTGCTCCTCCGCCTCCAAAGCCTGGCGAAGAAGGCCTCACCCTCGGCAAAATCAAGCAGCGATTGCAGACCCCGCGTGCCGACTCCGACCACGCTGCGATCGGGCGGGTCCTCTCCGATGCTGTCCATGGCGTCGCGTGGAATGGCTGGATTTGGATTGCTGGTGCTCTTTGCCTGCTTCGCCATTGCCGCTTCGCTCTCTGACACGGTACGCCTCTGCTCTTGCATTCCGGCTCGTTTGATTTCGTGTGCTGTCGGTTTTGCTCACGATTTTTGGCGCTGATACTGGTGCTGGGCCGGTTTCCCCCTCGGCGTGGGCGGATCGTTCGAGTGGTCCGTGAAGCTCGTAGATGATGAGCTGGTATCTTTGGTTTCGTTGTCCTGTCCTTCCGACGCGATGTTTCGGAGGGGCTGAGAGTTTGAGTGAGATTGTGGGGCGGTGATGCGGGAGAGTTGCATGGTCGTGCTGCGTGTATTGTCATCGAGGTGCGATTTGTTTCCCGCGCGAGTGAAGAATGCAGCTGCATCGCTATCTGTCAGTGATTTACTTTTGCCAATTGGGTTTACTCGAGCGTTGCTTCTTGCCCGCATTGCGGGAAGGTTCTGGTAGTACTATTTGCGTCAGTTTCTTCTGTTCTTCGAGTCTTTTTATTTTATTTTATTTCGGTTTTGTTTGGTTTGGTTTTGTTTTGTTTTGTTTTGTTTTGTTTTTTTTTTTCTTGAGTAATCCCCCCGCCCCCATCTTCTGGTATAGGCGATTGGACAGTGCCTTCTTGAGTCTCATTATTCCGTCTTTCTGTCGAAAGAGGTAGATATACTTGTCCCTCGTCTGTGGTGCGGTGTTCCTGGGTTTTCCGCTTCCATCATACGAAGGTGCGTCTCGGTAACGCTTTGATTTATTTTACAGAAAATTGTTCTTTTTGTTTTCGGTTTCCCACAGTGCCGGGGACTTTTTCCTCATACTCACAGATCGTGAAGTGCGTGCGCTGTTGGTTGTCACGTACCTGAACGTCTGTGGTAGCCCATGTGCGGAGGTCTTGTCTGTCAGGCCTGACGCTGATGGATCAGTCATGGCCGCCGTTGTGGTGGTCGGATTGTGTGGCAGTTGCTTCTACCTATGGTTTCAATAAGAGGGCGATCCGTGGGTTCGATCTTGGGCTGAGGCGTAGTTAGGTCGGTAGTTGGTGCGACTAGATACCGTGTCGCTACAGGTACACAAATGTTTGCACGTTTTGGTCTGAATTCGGCACGATTCGCTTGGACAAGGACGGCTTCGAAACGACAATCCGGGGTTGAAATACTCGACACTTCATTTCAGAAAGCTCGCTGTATGGGATTGGCGTATTCGTGCTGTCGGAATTCTGGATTACTCAGCCTGTGGAAGTACTGTGCTGATGCATTTTTTGTGACTCGTGCAACCGTGAAGGAATAGTTTAGCCACTTGCCCTTTCATTCGAAAGGTTCAACCAGTGATTAGGGATGGGCCTTGTTCCTGAATTGGCATTTGCCGGTGGTTGAGGATCGAGTGTGGGGACTGAAATGTCCGAATGCAGTCAAAACGTCGTGGTTTCAAATGCACAAGCTTTCTCTTGTGTGGCAGGTGTTTTATGAGAACTTCGACGAGGACTTCGAAGGGCGATGGGTCGTCTCTCAAAATAGCGACTACGGAGGTATTCATCGCCGTGGTTCTTTCTGTTTGTATTGATTCAGTTTGAACAGAAAACGCTTTGTCCAGACAGAGTGGTGATATGGTCGGAGCGCTGTGGTTGCGTGCGACAAGCAATCAAAGGGGGCTGAACTTATCTGTATTTCAGGTACATGGAAGCATGCCAAGAGCGACGGTCACGATGATTACGGACTGTTGGTCAGCGAGAAAGCTAAGAAGTATGGCATAGCCGTCGATTTGCCTGAGAAGGTTGATCCGAAGGATGGATCTCTTGTTCTTCAGTACGACCTGAGGCTTCAGAATGGACTTGAGTGCGGTGGTGCCTACTTGAAGTTTCTTCAACCTCAGGTGAGATTCGGGAGAGATCTTGGCCGATGGTAGGGCTTGCCAAATCAGGCAGAGCGTCCAACTGGTCTTCCATGGCGTTTGGGTTGTACTTAGGTGTGGACTGAGTTTTTCACTTCACAAAGA